AGCTGGATCGATTCGGAGTAGAGGGTCACGAGCGGACACGAGGATCGGACCGGTCTGTGTGTTGTAAGGCGCAGTCACATCTTTCAACTCACACGATCAACATCCGGTCGAGAAAAGAAATCAGTCAGCGACCATTTCCCTGTCGAAATCTCGGTCCCGTTGGATGCGGATGCAAGTGTCTGCACTGAGTGTCATTGGGTATTACATCGCATTTTCTTCCTACCTCACTTAGTCCACCCCTCTCTTTCTCTCTCTCTCTCACTCTCTCTTTCGCTCCCCCCCTCTCTATCTCTCTGTCACACACACACTCTTTCGCTTTCTCTCTCTCTCTCTCTCTCTCTCTCTCCTTGCTTTACAGCACACAGCATGTCTCCTCATTTTCGCGTCTCTCTCTCATCTCGTCTCTCTCTCTGTCGTCTCCTCTCTCTCTACTCTCTCTCCTCGTCTCATCATCTCTCTCTCTCTCTCCCTCTCTATCTATCTATCGTATCTATAGCTTTTTGTGTGTGTGTTTTGTGTGTGTGTGTGTGTGTGTGTGTGTGTGTGTGCGTCGTGCGTGGCGTGCGTGCGTGCGTGCGTGCCGTGCGTGCGTGCGTGCGTGCGTGCGTGCGTGCGTGCGTGCGTCGTGGTGCGCTGCTGTGTGGTGTCGCGTCCCCTTCTCTCTCTCTCTCTCACTGCTCATCTCGCGTCGTCCCCCCGGTCTCTCTCTTCTCGAGCTTATCCCCCTCATCCTTTCTCGCTTTTCTCTCTCTCTCATCTCGTCTGTCTGCGTGTGTCCTTCCCCCTCTTCTCTCACCTCTCGCTGTTCGTCCCCCTCCTCTTTCGAGCTTTCCCACTCTCCCATCTCTCACCTTCTTCATCCCTCTCTCTCTGTGTCACCCTTATTCTCCTCTATACAAACTGTGCTATACGCGTGGCGGCGAGCGCGAAAACCTATAAATTATATATACGAACATTCACCGTTACGCCAGCACGCCAGAACGCGCTCCCGTGTAAAAAAACTAACATCGTGTGGTATATAGCAAAGAATATCGACACCGCTTGGCTAGCGCGGAGGTGATAGTCAGGATAGCCGTGAAGAAACGGGTTCAACTCGCGTCGCATTCGCAGTCGCGGTGGTTTGCGACAGAACGTTCGATAAATCGCGGTCGCCCACTTCACATGAGAAGGTGCCGAGCTGAGATCGGAGCTGGGAAGTGCCGCACCACGTGACACAACCGGAAGGATTTCTCCTTCGCGCACAAGTAGATAGTATAGCGCTGGGGCGATCTGTAGTATATATATATATATATATGTATATATATATATTATATAGAGAGAAGAGAGAGAGAGAGAGAGAGGAGTGAGAGGAGAGAGAGAGAGAGAGAGAGTGAGAGAAAAAGAGAGAGAGAGAGAGAGAGAGAGAGGGAGAGAGAGAGATAGATAGTGAGCTATAGTGAGAGAAGCGTGCGTGCTTACAACGGACGTGTGTTGTTCTGTTTATACGTGCATGCACACTGAGGCCACTTGCGCAGTGACGGTGGTACGTACGTGTGTCAACGATATATATATACGTAAGCCGCTGCAGCTTACGCTAATGTATCATTAGGTGAAGACATCTTTTACCCTGTGCTAATCTCAGATTTGTCTAGTTCAGCGTAAGATTGCTCATGCAGTAATATTATTAAAGCGAGCTATATCGGACGCACATCGAATGAATTGTGTTCATATATATATATATATATATATATGAATAGGTCATCGCTCGCCACGGCAGCTGCTATTTGAGAACATGTCTGCGTAGTAAAAAGGTACGTACGCACACGTAAATTCGTTTTTCTGCTACAGGGCTTCGGCCGTACACATATGATGGGGTTTTAGAATTAGGTTAGGATTAATTTTTAGGATGTAACCCTAAGTTATATAATTTAGGTTTAGCAGTAGGACTAGGTTAATTGTGGTTATGGTGAAGTCTATAGGTATACGGCTTAGGGATAAGATTAGTTTATGGTTAGGGCGAGGGTTAGGATTATGTTATCGAGAGAGAAAGGGTTAGCGCCATGTGTCGGCGTTTTTTGGCTTATTGTGCTTACTAATAATGTATGATGACGAACAGGAGTAGATAATAGGGAATTCCCTATTATCTACTCCTGATGACGATGTATGTACGAGGGTCCTAGTCTAGGATTGAATTAAAGACCAAGAGAATTGAAGTAGATCGAACTATCTGCCTGCCGTGGACTGATGAGGTAGCTGTTGGGGAAAAAATCAAACGAGTCTGTCATCGTTTATGTCGAAAGCTATATAGCGTGTCACTGTACGCATTGTGCATATGCGATGCTATGCATCGTGGGGGTTTTGTGACATGTTCGAGGGTTTTTTGTGACATGTTCGTGCATGGGGTTTTGTGGTTTTTGTGATTTTCGTATAGTGACATTTGCGTATAGAGGTTTTTATAGTCAGGTGTGCCGGCAAACGGACCGAGAGCATGAATTATTCGTGATGTTAGGCTGAGAACATAATTAGAACATTATTAGAGCGAGTTTTCTTGCTGACCCGTGGGTTTAGAAAGCTAGACACTAGACAGCATGATGATATAGCGGTGTGCGTAGGCGTGTATGCATGCGTACGTACGCGTGTGTGCATGTGCGCGTGTGTGTTTGTGCGTACGTGCGTGCGTGCGTCCGTGTGTCTTCGTGCGTGCGAGCGTGCGTGTGTGTTTGTGCGTACGTGCGTGCGTGCGTCCGTGTGTCTTCGTGCGTGCTGGTTTCGCGCAACGTGATCGCTGTGAGTGCACATTTACATGTGAAGGTGAAGATGGCGACTTAAACGTGCCTTGATCGCGGATTTCACCTTCACACGTGGAAGTAGAGAATGGATTTACATGAAAATGTTACCGCACTTGCTAACGCGCGGGCATAGCAAACAGACTGACAGATTTACACACGCACCGTAAAAGGATCCGCGTGGATTTATACAGTGTCGTACATCACTCCCTGATTGCCGTAAATGTGTATGCGATTGCACGAGCTATTTTGGGGAAATCGAATTGTGCTTCTGCGTAGTTTCAACAAAATGCATCGCTTTTCTCCCGTGCGCTCACTAAAACCCACGCAAGACGTACGCAATTCAGTAGAATGCACGTGTTTGCAAAACATATGCTGTCGTCCCATCCGTATACTTCCTCCGTTAAATACACGTTATACATTATTCCCTGATTACTATAAATGTTTATACGGTTGCACGAACTACTTCGGGGAAATTGAATTGGAGAGAAGCGAGAAATAGAGAGAGAGAAAGGAGTGTGCGAGTGAGTGGAAGAGAGAAGAGTACGAGAGAGAGAGAGCAGAGAGAGCGGAGACTGGAACGAGAGACGGAATTACAATAAAACAGAAGGGAATGAGAGACCCGAGAGACAAGAAGGGGAGAGAGGAGAGAGGAAGAGAGAGAGAGAGCAGAAGAAGAGGAGAGCGGGACGAGATGAGAGAGGAGCGA